TCCGTGACTTCTCGGCCCAGTCCCCGCTTAATTAAGTCGCATCTTCCTTATCATGTGATTCCAATGAGTAAGGAGGAGAGCAAAAGAAGCAAGTATATTTACGTGGCAAGAAATCCAAAGGACGTTGCTGTTTCATTTTATCACTTCGTCCAAAGCTTTGATCCTGGCAGTTATTTTAATGGGACGTGGGAGTTCTTCGTAAAGTTGTTTCTTGAGGGCAAAAGTAAGGATTTTTATTTGTTAAAAATGGTTTTCGCTGTGAGCTAAGCGGAAGTTTGACGGCATTGCGAGCTCGCCTCCTACTATCTCTGAAAGTTCGTCACCTGAGGAAAAACAAGCTCGCTCCCACCTTTACCAGTTCGGACCAGTTCGTCCCTAAATCTTTCAAAGCTATCATGATTTCGACAGCAAAAGAATACGTTCTGCCTTAGGGACTGCCTCGGTGAGGTAGAATAACAATTATAACAAGAAATTTCATTTGTTTTTATCAACTGAGTTGATAATGTTAATTGGCCATCGTAAAGAGTTTCAAAGCTCAGGTTTCGGGCGTTAGCCCTTCGTCAGAGCGAATGACAAATGGTGAGTGATTTGCTTTGACGAAGTGCTGACGCTCGAAACGTCAGCTTTGAAACTCTTTGCAGTAACCAATTTACATCATCAACTCGGTTGATAAAAAATTATCTTGGAAGGTTTAAGGGCGAGGTAGGAACAGTGGGTGTGAACTTGTTTCACTTCAGGGGGCGAACTCGCAAAGGAGGTAGGAGAACGAACTTGCAATAGGGCGAAACCTCCATAAATCTTTAGATATCACGTTTCGGGTGTTAGCCCTTCGTCAGAGCGAATGAAAAATGGCGAGTGATTTGCTCTGACGTAAATCTGCACTGATTTGCTCTGACGAAACGTCTGCTTTGAAACTCTTTACGGTAACCAATTTACATCATCAACACGGTTGATGAAACAAAAATTATCTTGAAAGGTTTAGGGGCGAGCTGAGGAAGGTGGGTGCGAACTTGTTTCACTTCTCGGGGCAAACTCGCAAAGGAGG